TTTTTCTTATTAATCTCTAAGTGCACGTTGTTAAAGCTTGGTCCCAAGGGCGTGCACTTATAGAGGTTTTACTGTATATAGAGATTCATACCAATAGTCTAGAACCATATAATATAAGAAAGGAAATGTATTGATCGATTAAGAACAATTTATTGATAAAATGGCAATTTTTTTTTCTATCTCTTAAGTATTGCACCTAGTACAATTCTTGTAAAAAATTAAAATTAATTAACATTAGGAATGCTATTGCAATAAATACGATATAATAACATAAAGCTGCCAATCTAATAATCTCAACTAATCCTAACTGAAACTTTTAATTCAATATTAATGGATTTGTTTCACTTTCTTCATTGACAGATAAGCTGGAAAATTTGAAGCTTATAATATAAGAATTATTATTAAAAAGAATCATAACTTATGTGAAAATTTACAATAGATTCCATATATTTCAGTCGATCAAGTTTGTCAAATTAAAGTTTTTTGTGTCATTGTTATCTTAAATTTTGAATTATTAGATATAATAACGTTAGTGTAGATTTAAAAACAAAACATAAAAAAGATTATGTATACATACCCTCAGGATTAATAATAATTTCTTCTAAGAATTTGTGTACATGTTCGATGTCGGGACGTTTATGTGGATCAGCATCCCAGCATTTACTATAAAGATTTATATATTCTTCAGGAGTTCCAGGAATTTTATCTTCTCTAACACCTTGAATAACATTGATAAATAGAAGACGACAACTTGCTTGATTTTCAAATGGTGGATGACCACTAGATAATTCCCAAAATATCATGCCAAGGCTATAGATATCTGTTTCTTTGCAATATGGTATATTATCCAATTTGGTTGGTTCAAATAATTCAGGTGCTAAAAATGAAATCATTCCAAAAAGACCATTATGTATATTGGTTTGTGTATTAATACTTGTAGCATTTCCAAAATCTGTTATTTTTGCCTTGCCGTTATGGATAACTATATTTATCATGCTAATCAAAATTTTTTATGAGATTAAATAAATAAGTTAAAATATTAGTAAAGTAGTGCTCCTTTCGAATTTGTCAACACAAACCCACCCAAGTTTTTGGGTCGGTTTGGAGTTATAGCTATTATTATCATAAATCTCAAGTTACCGAAAAAATCCTCACTAACAAAATTGATAAGTCACCGAATCATTTACCAACTTCAGAAACTAATATTCGTTCATCAGTAATTTTTCGGTTGTTCCAGGATTTATGATAACAGCTATAACAAATTGATTCGAAATTTTTGGTAAATTCAGGCTGTATATGAAACACAAATAAATGTTGAAATATGCTGATGTAGGAATACATCTAACTCTTCGAAGTTCGAAAAATTACAACGCTGTCTCGGACTAAGTTCCGAAAAAGAACAATTACTCAGTTTCCAAAGAGTTAGTGATGAGAAGGAATTTCTAGGAATGTGCAAATTTAGCTTATGAAAACAGCTGTAACTCAAAAATTTCAAATTCGCTTAGAACCCGACTCGTTCGTATTTAACGTTATCCTACCAAGTCTCGGTGTATAATTTCTTCACTGTGCAAATAACATAATCCTTTTGTGATTTGACAAGCCAGTTCTAATCTTTGGTGCCAATTCAATGAATTATTACTTTTTTTAAGAAACCTTCGTAAATTACCATCATTTGCATATTCCATTATAAGAAAATATCGGTCATTGATAGTATCTACGTAATGTAACTAATCAATAATCAATTTAAATATGCAACTAAATAATTGAGCAAAACATAAATACCTTTACTGGCTCCCAAAAATCGAACGATGTTTTCACAAAGATCTGATCTAGTATGCATTGTTAACTCATGAATAAATGCAGTGTAATATTTGCCATTTATGCCCGTCAGGTTTGTTAATTCCTTACAAACGACATTACTATGCGTCTTTGTCCAATAAGCTTTGAATATGAATCCTAAATAAATATAAGATAGGAAACAATGTAACTATTTACTTATCTTTAATATCTACTTACTAAGCTTCAACGTACGTACCAAAGTGACCTTCATCAAGTTTTGAAATATTGCTTATATCAATCCATGGGATGAATTTTATCAGTTTTTTTTTAATTTCATTTTCTAAATAGCAAAATTTCACAAGTGTGTATTAATTAAATGCTTCTTTAAGTCAAAAATAAATTCATATTAATTACCAAAAACTTCATTTGTTATTTCTTCATTTGGTTCAGTGGAGTTTGCTAGTGGTTTTGGAACACTAATTAAATCAACTTGTGCGTCTTCATTATAGTTAATTGGATCGGATTCATAAAATTCTACAATATCATCTTTCCATTTAGAGAGAATCCTATAAATTTTTAAAGCAGTTGGTCGTTTGGTTGGATCTCTATCCCAACACCTTTTCATAAGGTCTGAATAACATGATATTGTGTTTTCATGGATAGTTGGTCGCGTTCCGTTATGAATTTTTAACAAAAGCGAATATGTAGTTCTATTTTTTCCATATCCTGAAATAGCAGACTGTCCAAATGAAATTTGCCACATAAGTATTCCAAAAGAGTAAATATCTGATGCCTTAAAAAATGAATTCTCGGCTATAACTTCTGGTGCTGCATGCAACAAACTTCCAATTATTTCTGGTTTGGCTATAGATGCCTCGTGGAATGATAATGATAATGAAAAGCTACTTATATATGCATTATGTGTATAATCTTGCAAATATGGTACCATCTTGTAAATTACAATGGGTAATATCAAGAGAATGAATTAATTGAAGGTCATGAGCTATATAGGATAATAATTTTACTTTTTCTATCCATCGCATAACGAAGATTATGCCCTAAGAAACCTAATGGTGAGTATTGAGTGACTAAGCTATATTCGCCAGTGATTTCGTCTTTTGATATTCCATAGCATTGAAGGAGTGAGGGATTCTTACATCCAATCGCGTAGTATGCCTTTAGCTTTAAAGATAAAGTTTAGTTTATCTAATTAATTCATAATATTTTATGCATAAAGTACTATATTTATTAAATACCTCTTTTATTAATATCTCATAATTTTTTTTTGACTCATGAAATCGTTTTAGAATAACCATTTTTGTTCTTGCCCCATGCTTATGTAAATATGTCCATTCAGCAAAATACTTAGTAGAGAACGCTCCCCTTCTTACGTAATTTTGTTCATTTAAGTTTCTAAGTTCATTGGATGGAATCCAGAACAATTGATACTTGTTTTCAGACATTGAGTTTTTTAAAAAGTTAGCAAGATCAATATCTAGATCTCCGTAATCTACATGTTGACATTGATTACTTCTTGATTTTCGTAAAAATTTTGTAGCCTCTTCCATATCTTGACGTACACCTTTACCATTTCTATAGCACAAGCCAAGATTGAATTGTCCACTAGGGTTGCCTCCTTTTGCTGATTTTAAAAACCATCTAAATGTTTCATTCTCGTCCTTATCAGTGCCTATTCCGTTTTCGTAACAACGCCCGAGATTATTTTGTCCACTAGAATTGCCACCTTCAGCTAATCTTAAATACCATTTAAATGCTTCAATTTCATTTTTATCAACACCTATACCATTTTCAAAGCACCAACCAAGATTATTACACCCACGAAGGCTGCCTTCTTCTGCAGCCTTCAAATACCATTCATATGCTTTCTTTTCGCCTTTATTAATACCTATTCCATATTGATAGCACCATCCTATATCATTTTTTATTTCTGAACTAATGTCATTAGTAGATTTTAAATATAGTTCTAATGCTTCCTCGTTTTTGGCGGTGTCTATATTTGAAAATATGTTTAGAGATTGCCCTTCTCTATCTGATTCCATTTGTCTTTAGACGACGATGTAATGAAACATACAGTATATTATGAACTATACACAACTGACAAGTTATGTACGTACATACGTATGTACAGTAAGTAAGTACTACCAGGTACAATGAAGAAAAAGTATTCACAATTTCCTATTTTATATTATCTTTACAAAAAATATTACAAATCATTGTGTTTGTAAGTATTTGACAAAAAAATTCGAGTTACGATAAATTAATTTTGCTCATATCTGATATAAGCAAATAATATAAACATAAACATTTATCTAGATGTACTATAAAGGATCAAGCATAATATAAGGGGCCCTACTCTAAACTCAATTGATTAATAATCAATTTTAATCAAATTTATTAGTGGGGCCCCTTATACTAAACTTGATCTTCCAAGCAAATTCTAATTTATACATGCTTCAACGAGTTCTGTATTTCTTTCAAGAATCTAATTCCTATCTAACTTTCCGGATGCTATCTTCAAACATAAATATCAATATGTTAAATGATGCAAATACAGTCGTACTCCTCTACAGTCACCTATATTGTCACACCCACTTTATATAAGCACCATTTTTTGAAAAATTCTTGGCGGCTTATTAATTAAAAAAAAAAAAATTATATAATCACATTACTATTAAAATTTTATAATCACATTTTTTTATGTAAAATAAACCGCGTGATTATAGAAGAGGACGACTGTATATATGATTCTTCATGTTATATTCTGTGAAGTGAAGGATTATATTAATATTTTTGTTTATGTTAATATTTTGAAAATATTGCAATATGAAATTATTCATTGCTAAAAAAAAAAAATAAAGAAATTATACTGATTTTATTAGTTAGGAATGTAATTTGAACCTGAACTGATTGTTATGAAAATTTATTGGTTTCAAAGACTAATCTAGTTATGTTAACATGGTAGCTAGTTTGTTAAATAAAGTGTATTTACAAGTTAGACTAGTTAGGCTTTGTGAATACGGTCGGTAACATTACAAGTACGTATCTTGACTTTAAACCCTATAGCTATAGTAGTAGTGCAAGAACTTTTGTCAAAAGGTTGTGGTCTTTACAATAGATATGATATGTTTCTAATTTAATGGCAGAAATTTATAATTTCGGCAATGGATGAGTTTTTTATTTTAACAGTGTATTAGTTTATGATTTTACTGTAGTAGTAGATGGGTAACAATTTTATCTGTAGGTAGATTTTTACTTTTAATAATAGTTTAATTTATAATTTAGTGTGAATAATAATTTATAGTTATCCGGCAAACTCATATGATCATGAAAAAATTTCTTTTGTTATTTTTTTCATGTGTTGTAATTATGTTTATTCCAATATTCAAATTAAAACTTAGTGAGCGACTCCCTACCAATCATGATCATAAATTGCCGGATAACACCCACTGCGGAATCTGTGATATAATTTAACAAATTATGTTTTCGATATCAGCAAATTATTTGATTTACTGCGATTAACAAT